CTAGCTAGATCTAAAGATTAGAAAGGAAAGATGCAAGCTTTTTACCTCCAGAAGCTTTGCAAGATGATTTTGGTGCAAGATCTTGAAGCACCCACTTAATCCAAGCTTGCTTGACCACCCCTTCTTCTTGAAATACACACTAAAAGGCCACAAATGCACTCTTTAAGGCTCAAGAATGATCTCACGAGGTTTCCAGGAGTATATGAACGTTCTAAAGCTGTGGAGGCTCTCTAGGGTTTAGTCCAAGGGACTTAAAGTTGTTTAAATAGGCCTCAAGTCCGGAATTTAGGGTTTTGCGTCCCTGGCGCGTACGCCCCGCGTAACTCAAGGTACGCCCAGCGTACCCTGATTCCTCCGCGACCACTTCCATGCAGTACGCTAAGCGTACACTTAAGTACGCCCAACGTACACTTAAGTACGCCCAGCGTACTTAAGGGACCAATTATGCAAAAATTATCATTTCTTAGGGTTTCAAGACATACCAGAATTTTGGATGTTACAAGTTATTGGTGCGATGCGGATTTTATCTAGAAACCGGTTCACCAAAACCGAACCGCACCGATGGCGTATAAACAATAAATCACTAATTTATATTATATACATATTATTTAAAAGACTAATATCTACTATACGTTGAATTTGACGGTACTTAGGTTTAGCGATTAAACTTTAATAGATATACATGTGAGTATGTATAATGTATGTGAGAATCTATCTTTGATTTCTCATAAGTCATAACATTTATTTAATTTTGTGGCTTTGTGTTTCTGTAACCATATGTGGGCAGTAGGTACAAAAGGAATAGAAAACATGAGTTTGGGGTGAAAATTAATCAACGTACAAAAAATGAAAATCAAACAAGTGTCAAAATATTCAACGGGAACAACCCGAAATTAAATGAACGTCAAAATTTTTGACAGTTCAAAATAAAACCATCCCAGTGAATATAAAAAATCACACCATATGTTTTACTCGGTTTAAAACCAACACCGAACCGATACAAACCGAAACCGCATTTAAAAACCGCAAAACCGAGCCATTAATAAACCGCACCCAACGGTTTTTAAAATGCAAAAACCGCACCATGTGGTTTGCGGTTCAGTTTGACCCTAAAACCGCACCAAACCACACCATGCTCACCCCTAGTATAAACTAAAAAATGACCTATTAATAAAGGGAAGGTAACCTCATGTTCAATCAGACCTTAAATGACATGGCATATGTTATGCCACATTGATCCCACGTGTACACCCCTGTTCCAAAACCTCACCCTCACCTGAACCTAATAAAACCCTCTTTAGATTAGCACAACCTTTTTTCATCTTCTTCGTAGGTGATTTCATTCTAACAGAGAAATAACATATCTTTCTCTCTCTCACAAAATCAAAACAAAATCCTCCCTAAGAAAATCGGTTACCGCCATTTACGTCTCTGGCCTAGAAACCATAACGCACGGTCATCCTTTTTGGCGACCGCCCACTGTTCTTTGAAGACCACCATGCTTTCTCCTCCACTGGAAAAGGAATCAAAGTTTCATCGTGTTTCATTCACCTTCAAATATATTGATGTTTGTGTGTTTCGTTTAGTTACAGGTAAATGTGTGTGTTTATTTTAGTTATAGGTAGGTGTGTATTTTAGTTGCCAGTAGATGTAACACCTGTCCCAGGTATTATTTAATTTATCTAATTTTTAGGTTTTGTGCATGGACTCAGCGAGTTGGGGAGCTCCAACTCGTCGAGTAGAGATCATTATGAGGACGCAGGTTTTAAATCCTACTCGACGAGTCGGAAGGCCCCGACTCGATGAGTAGGGCTGTAAAGAAAAACCCTTATTTTTAGGGGTTTGTACCCTATTTAAAGAACTTATGGCTCATTTTTAGCCTCCTTCATCATTATTACAGTCCAGAAAGAAACCCTAGCCGCATCTTGGTGCTTCATTGAGTGTGTGTGAGCCTTGGAGAGTGGAACTTGTGCTTTTGAGAAGGAAACTTGAAGGTTGAGGAGACTGAAGAGAGGAGAAGGCTTTGGATCCGGCATCTACTTGTTGTTAGCATCCATTTAGAGGTAAAAAGTTGCTAACTTGATCTCTATTTGCTTAGATCTCATTTTATGGAAGAATATGGTCACTTTTGGTGCAAAATGGGGTCATACTTGGATTTGGACTTATCACAAGGATATGGTTCCAGATCTGGACATCTCTAGGTCCTCAATGACATAAAGTTGTTCACTTTATCCAGCTTAGGCCCTTTCCATGCACTAAAACCTTGTAGGAAGCTTAGTTTGGATGTTATAGCCTTGGGAGGCCTTGCATGCACGTAAAATTTGCAACTTTACGTGGTATCTGCACTAGGGGAGGTTGGATCTGAAGTTTGGGACCTTAGATCCCACTGGAAAGGACTGAACACAAAAGGACTGAAGGAACTCGTCGAGTCCATTAGTCAACTTGACGAGTCGGGGTAGGGTTTACCCGTTTTTGAGTTTCCGAATGAGTGTAGCGAAGAATTAGAGTGTTGGTCTGAATGAACTTTTGGTTTTCTGGACATTGGATGAACTCGACGAGTCACTTAGGTGACTCGGCGAGTTGATTCGGGATTCAGTGGAATGGACTCGGGAGGAACTCGACAAGTTGCTGGATGCACTCGGCGAGTTGAGGTCAACATGGACTGTTGACCTTGACTTTGACCAGGGTTAACTTTGAGGATATTTATGGTATTTCAGGATTGTGACAAGTTAATCACATGATGATTATAGGTAGTTGAGTTGGAGCAGTGCGTGGGATTTATCCGATCTTAGCTTGTCAGTTCAACATTCGAGAGGTGAGTCTCCTCACCATACCAATGGGTCTAAGGCACCAAGGCCGGCCTATTTTGTGATATGTGGTACACTAGCTATAGTAGAGATATGTGGTATGATAGTTAGCTATATGCTAATTGGTATGCTAGTAATTATATGATACTTGCAGGGAAGACCATTGGGGGAGCCCATGGCACTTGGATAAGACCATGTAGGGGAGGCCATGGCTTGATAGTTAAAGACCATGGGGGAGCCCATGGTAGTCGAATGAAAGACCATGTGGGGGAGCGCATGGCTTGTCAGTTAAAGACCATGGGGGGAGACCATGACACTTTGGTATAAGACCATGCGGGGGAGCTCATGTCATCCTTATATGTTTGTATGCATGGCTTATGTGATATATGTAGCTTTTATAGCTAATATGATATGTGGATTGTGGATTGTGTGTGGGGTATGCTCTGGGGAACTCACTAAGCATTAGCTTACAGTTTGTGGATTTGTTTCAGGTACATCCGAGCCTAAGGGAAAGGGCAAGGCTTGATGGCATGGCGTGCACTCTCTCTCAGACATTTTTACGGGACACTCTGATGTTTTGAAATAAGATTGTAATTGATATGAATTTTGAAAACAATTGTATTTGGGATTTCATGGTTTGTGGAAAGCAATTTGGTAATTAAAAATGAAAATTTTCTTTTGAAAATTGGGTCGTTACAGTAGATGAATATATCTTCTTCCAATGATCAATTTGGGATTACAATGGTAAACTTATTCTGGAACTTTGATACATAGGAGTTCTTTTTTCCACCGTTTTTCATATACAGAGAGACTGTTAGGAGGTAGAGAGGTGTGTCTGTCAACATTGATCGATGGTGGGGAAAGGCTTACATACCATGAGTTGTTTTACAAGTGCGTTTCGTTTCGTTTCGTTTTGCCAAATCAATTTTGGTTGAATCGTTGTTTTCCATCTTCATTCTAGGTTTGATTTTGATCAAAATCCATTCTCCAAGTTTAATATTATTGAATCACCATTCTCCGTCAACGGGTGTGGAGGGATTTTGTTTTGATTTGCTCTCGATTTCTTCCCCATCTAGGTTTAAAGTCAACAAATTAATTGGTCAGTGTCGAGTGCCTATTTCTACAGGTGTTGATTAACCGGTACGTTATGAACTTCACCTCCAGACATGGTTGAATCACCATGTCTTTTTTTGCAACTAGCGACTCATGTTGATTGGAACTGTAAGGTCAAGCAAAGTGAGGTTGAAGTCTTTGGGAATAGAGAAGACATCAGAGACACTGAGACACCGATCTGAACTAGTCGGCGAGCCAGGTTTCGACCGAGAGTTGCCTCGGAGAAGCCGGTTGGAACAGTGGATTTCTGGACGGAGGAAACGCCACCACATGTCCACTACTAGTGTTATCGATCTTCGATTTGAAGAAGATGGAGATGTGTTTTGAATCCGTGGGGATGATGAAAGTTGCATACCTAAATGCCAACATGGATTATCTTTTATTTTTTTTTTATAAGTTAAAAATAAATCCACATGGAATGTAGGTAACCTGTGAAACCTGGAGTAGATGGAATAAATAGAGTTTAGTATCCTTTTGACATGTAATTTTTTATTTTAATGGCATAAAAGACACAAATAAAAAAATTAAATACCTTTTAAAACCAAACGAAAAAACTTCATTGTGTTTTTATGTCAATAACCCTTTAAGTTTTATGGTTTAAATTAAAATATTATTAGAAATATCTAATTTATTTAAACAAACTATGATATCAATTGAAATGATATTTCAAGAAACATTTGTATTGAAATGATATCTGTAGATGGAAAATTTAATAGAATTAAATGTAAAATTTATGTAATAAAAATAATAGTTTATAAAAATGGTTAATCAAGCGAAATATTTATCGATTGAATAAAGACAAATTGAATAGGATTTGGTAGAAAAATACGCCTCATCCCTATCCCCTTTCAGCCTCAGTTGATATCTATAGCAAAGAATGATGGGCACAAAAAGCAGTACCTAACAATGGCTGTTTCCTTCTCCACCACCACCATCAACGACCTCCCGGACGTCATCCTCTCCAACATAATCGCCGCCGTCTCCGACGTCCGCGCCCGCAACGCCGCTTCTTTAGTCTCTCGGAAATGGCTCCTATTAGACCGATCAACCCGCACCTCCCTCACCCTCCGCGGCAACGCTCGCGACCTCTTTATGCTACCTTCCTGTTTCCGATCCGTTACTCACCTTGACCTCTCCCTCCTTTCTCCATGGGGTCATCCTCTCCTCTCCTCCACCGCCGCCTCTTATCCCGCCCTTTTCGCTCAGCTTCTCCGGCAGTCCTTCCCCAACGTTAAATCACTCATCATCTACTCACGAAACCCCTCCGCTCTTGAGCTTTTAGCTCCTCAATGGCCGTCACTTTCTCAGATCAAGCTTGTCCGTTGGCACCAACGACCACCGCAACTACCTCCCGGCGCCGATATACTTCCGGTTTTCGAGAACTGTAGAGATATCAACTCTCTGGATCTCTCATGTTTCTATTGCTGGACTGACGATATTCCTCCAGCCCTAAAAGCTCACCCTCAAACCGCGGCGAAGCTTACGTTTCTCAATCTTCTTAATCCGTCGTTCACTGAAGGATTCAAAGCTCAAGAAGTTGAAGAAATCTCTAAAGCTTGTCCTAATTTGAAGAAATTTTTAATAGCTTGTATGTTTGATCCTAGATACATTGGATTCGTCGGAGACGAAACACTACTTGCGATCTCAATCAACTGCCCGAAGCTATCACTTCTTCATCTCGCGGATCCTTCAGCTTTGTTAAACGCTAGAGCTGATCCAGACACACAAGGTTTCACTCCAGAAGATGCGAGTATCACAGTTGCCACCTTGATCGAAATGTTCTCCGGACTTCCATTGCTGGAAGAGCTCACCTTCGATATTTCCAATAACATCAGAGACAGTGGCCCTGCTTTCGAGATTTTGAACTCCAAGTGTCCTAAGTTAAGATCTCTAAAGCTCGGAAACTTTCATGGGATTTCAATGCCGATTGAGTCAAAACTAGATGGAATCGCATTGTGTCAACGTATAGAATCATTATCCATTCGAAACGTAGCCGATTTGACAGATATGGGGTTGATCGCAATCGCTAGAGGCTGTTCGAATCTGGTGAAATTCGAGGTTCAAGGATGCAAGAACATTACAGTAAGAGGAATGCGAACTTTCGTCTCGTTGCTGAATCGAACCTTAATCGATGTCAAGATCTCGTGTTGTAAGAATTTAGGCGCAGTTTCATCATTGAAATCGTTAGAACCAATCCAGGATCGTATCCGAAAGCTTCATATCGACTGTGTTACGGAATCCAATATCGATGACGAATTGGGGAATAACAACAGAAAAAAGCGCAAATTCGATTTCGATCTGAATGATTCAAAGTCAAGCGATTCAACGAACGAAACATGGACAAAACTGGAACATCTATCTCTGTGGTTCTCGGTGGGGGAACTTCTGACTCCATTTCTATCATCGGGTCTAGAAGATTGTCCGAATTTAAACGAGATTTACATCAAAGTGGAAGGCGACTGCAGGCATTTCTCCAAACCATCACAACGAGAATTTGGATTACAATCCCTTTGTATGTTCCCAAATTTATCAAAAATGCAATTGGATTGCGGTGAAACAATTGGGTATGCACACACAGCACCATCGGGGCAGATGGATTTGAGTTTATGGGAACGGTTTTATTTGTATGGGATCGGGGCAGTGAATCTGGAGGAGCTTGACTACTGGCCACCACAAGATCGGGATGTTAACCAGAGGAGTTTGTCTTTGCCGGCTGCTGGGTTGCTTCAAGAATGTGTTATGTTGCGGAAATTGTTTATTCATGGAACAGCTCATGAGCATTTTTTGATGTTTCTTTTGAGGATTCAGAGTTTGAGAGACGTGCAGTTGAGGGAGGATTATTATCCTGCGCCTGAGAATGATATGAGTACGGAGATGAGGGCGGATTCGTGTAGTCGGTTTGAGGATGCGTTGAATAGGAGACGAATTGAGGACTGAAAATGTTATAATAATTATGATTGATTACTGATTAGATAGAATAAGGTGTAACCAAGATATTATCTGGAATAAAAGTTGTTATAACTATTACTATAAAAGATTTTGTAAGTTTAATTTATTGGTTGAATGATTAGTTCCAAATATATGTTGAAAAGGTTTGTAAAGTAGAAGTAAAATTTGGGAGAATAACAAAACAGATGTTAGCAAGTCAAGTGAGTCTTGAAAGAGAGTTGTATGATTGAGAAAGGAAAGGCAGGAATAGTTTTGTTCCAAATAACTGGATTTATACAGAAGTCAAAAGTAGTGGAGCCGATAATATTTGGTAAAACCTCTCTACTAGTAGTATGTCTTTGTTGTTTAAGTTTGATATATGATATGAAATGATATGATGGTTCTCTCAACAGAGGGCATATTCGCAGTCTAGCAAACGGACCAAAATGTCCTCGCAGCTTGGTCGCTCGGCTGGTTCTGCCCAGCAATCTGCAAAAATCAACTAAAATAAGCTTCCCTGTGCTTATGAAACGGTGTAAATTACGTAAGTATCGTTTTATTGACTCAACCACTTAAACCATTTTCTGTAGTGTTTAAAATTTAAATCATTATACACTATTTTTTATTAAAGCATTTTCCCTGGTTAATACAATTTGTAAAAACAACTTACAGAAAATCGGAAGATATTATTCTGATAAACATAAAAAACAATAGCAATTTGTTGGCTAAATTAATAAAATGGTGAAAGTACAAGTGCTTTTCTGTGTTTTTAGATGATTAATGAATGTTAAAGTCGGAGGAAATAAAAGAAGAAAAAGATACCAGCAATGAGCTTGCCAAGTGGACCTTCAGGGATCTCCAACCGTGAGCCTTCATTGGCAACAGAATACACAACCTAAAAAAACATCAAAAGAAGAGAAGAGGAGGGCATTCACGTCTTTTGCACAACATCAGAAAAAGTAATAATGAGGGAGGGGCTTGGGCTTGGGCTTGGGCTTACCCTCTCAGGTGGCAAACCTTCCCATGGCCTATTGAGAGTGCATAACTCCCACATGATGACTCCGAGGCTAAAAATGTCACATTTTTCAGTGAAAGGTTCGTTTCGGATTAGTTCTGGAGCCATCCATTCAGGGGTGCCTGCTGACGTGGAATCTTTGACGGGTGATTCTGTCATCATTCTTGAAAGCCCAAAATCACATATCTTTACTGTCCAATGCTTGTTCACCAGACAATTTGCACTTTTTATGTCGCGGTGAGCTATTTTCATTCGGTGAATGCACATCAACCCTCTTATCACATGCAAAACACCAATTACAATAACACCAACTCCACATTATGTAATTATAATTAATTAATATTAATATTTTATTTACAAAGAAAAAAAAATAATGTTTTATTGTAGATTCCATTACACTAACCTGCATATATCACGAAGCATTTTAAGTCTTCTTCGCCAGCTGAGTTTCTTCTTCTGACCGCTTAAATGGATCAAGTAATACAAGGATCCCATCTCCATATATTCCGTCACCATTGATAAGCGTGGAGGCCTTGTGCACGCACCAAGAAACAATATAACTGACCAAATCAAAACACAAACCATTTTTTTACTCCAATAACTTTAATTACTTAAAGACAAAAAAAAAATGTCAACTTGGTGTTTAAACAAACTCTACATACACGCTAATTAAACAAAAACACTTGTACCTTCTTCATTCAGGCTTTTCTAGTAGTTTTAGAGTCAGAATGCAACAATATTTTGGGATTTTATAACAAAAAAAAAAAAAAAAAAAAAGATGCAAAAGGAGAACAAAGACATACCATTTGGATGCCGAAGGCGACTGTTAAAAAACAAAAGGAAGGAAATGAAGGAGTTAGAAGCATATAAATAAATAAATCTTTAACTGTTAGCCTCTGTAGGGCTATTACATAGATGAGGAGAAGGAGGGCATTCTCATCTTTTGCACAGACAAGAGAACAAGAGAAATTGTCCCACCCTGTTCCATATTATTATAGGGTGAGAGTGGGACAAAAACTGCAGATTGTGTCACATTGACATCAAACATCAAACATGAGCTACTAACAGGATAGATAAAGTACCTGAGGATGGAAATCTCATTGCAGAAATCTTCCATGTTCTCAGCTGTAAGATCCTGTTCAAGAAAAACTTTTATTGCTACTTCTGTTCCATTCCAAATGCCACGAAAAACTTCCCCAAAGAATCCTGGATAACAGAGATCAAGAACAGCAATTACAATAACATTCTTATTTATCACTTGATAATAGTTTTGCAGGTTTCCATATTATGTAGGGTTAAGGTCATGAAATGTCAACCAACTGTTCCATTTTTTACCATCGAAAATTTAAAATCACTCAACTTCTAACTGTATGGCCTGGATTAATAAAATTTCTAATTTTGTTACAATCAAGTAACCCAGTAAACATTTGACCTGATGTGGCAGCCACGTGGTGTAAATAGAAAGAGAAGCTAAAAGTAACACATGAAGAACTACACAATAATTTAGGAACAAGAGAGGGGAATAGACACAAGTTGACTAAAATAAAACTAGGAACATAAGTTGCATAGATTGCATCAAAGATGAGAAGCAAAGAGATTTAGTCAAGAATTATAGGAATTATATGCAAAAAGTTTATGAAGGAATCAATAGAAACTTATTGACTATTTTAATGATACTATTTAAATGTTCATTGATGTGAATAGATTATGATTCAAATTAGAATATATATATATATATATATATATATATATATATATATATATATAGAGAGAGAGAGAGAGAGAGAGAATTGCATTATAAAGTATTATATGTTGAATTGAAAAATATAATAGATATCTAATACATAGAAACTTTTAAGGTTCTTATACATGAACTCATAATCACAATAAATAATTAGAAAATGTACTTCTAAACATTATATTTTTCTCTTCATCTTAACCATGAAATGTTTGGAAAAGAATAGATCAATGCTTGTATTTTTATTTTAATCTCGAAAATAGTAGTTTTCACATTAACTTTTCATGTTTTATGTAATTACAAATGTAAAGTGACTTATAGTCAATGCTTGTACATAATTTAATAAGGAGAGATCAATGCTTGTACATAAATTAGAATACCATAAATATCGTACGACAAATAAGCAACCAAAACAAAGGAACAAGAAAATCCCAAATAAGATCATTATAGAAACTAGACATTTTGTAGCTATATTTTAAAAATAAGTCATTAAAGTTTTTAATTGTTTTGAAGCAGGTGTTACTAAAGATTAACAAAGAAAAAGTAGGCTAAATTGTAATTTCCATTCTATTCCATGAATGAATGAAAAAAAAAATCATCACCCAAGGAATGAAAATCTACAAATGGAAGGAATGACATTTCTTGAGGAATGACAAAAAAAATTATCTTTCATTGTTATACTCTATTCCATTCCTATGCTAATTACTACATACCAAATGCTACCTTACTCATATATAGCTGATTCAGTGGCATGGAGTAAAGTCAACTTATTGTGATAGTGGGATATTTTGGGAATAATTATATCTATACATAAAAAAGGGTACATACCAATTCCAACTCTGGTGCCAACAGTAAGTTCTGAGAAATCAATGTTCCATTCTTGATAAGGCAGAAGAGGCTTATTTTGGAACATGGGTGAATCCAGAATTTTGTTCCATGTTGAGACTGTTTCATCACCATCTGGAATACCAGGTCTTCCGGAAGCTGGATGCCTGAATTCATGAGGTGATGTAGGTAATGACATTGCCTTTTGAGAAGCCTCACGCTCCCTCTCCCTTTCAAGACTATATAAAGATCTTCCATCATTCTCATCAGTCTCCTAAACCATCACAACACATTTATTAACAACATTACAGACTCATCAAACCTTTTCACATCTTACAACACAACAGATTAATACAAAACAGTAACACTTACATCTTTCTTAAGTTCTGGATTCTGCAACCGAGTGTCCACCTGTTCTCTCATTAGTCGATTTTGTTTTAATGTTTCATTCATTGCGCGTACAGCCCTGAATGTTAATACAAGTAAAAAGAACACCATGTTATGTTGCCTTCCAAGAAAAAAAAAAAGTTATGCTTTCTAACTTCTTTTTATGTATCTTCAATCGTTATGCAAAAGAAAACTATCACAATTCATAAACAAAATCACAGAGCTAGTAGGAAATCTCTCTTAAATCATGCAACTAGAATAGGGTTATGCAAAAGTAGAATGCTGTAATAGGTAGAAACAAAAGTAGGATGCTAAGTATGTTGCTGTATAGGTAGATCAATGATAGTTAGCAAAAATTAACCTTTCTAAGTGTTTTCTGTACTAATATACTTGATAAAGATCATTGAATACTTCAACTTATCAAGGAAACTACCTAAATGAACTAAACTAACTAAAACATAAAAGTTAAAAATTAGAAAATATCAACCTTACGATGTCATCGCCAATTTCTGGAGTAATACTAATGCTTCTTCTTCGGTTTCTACGATGTTCAGACGTTGATGTGCCTTCTGATCTGTAGATACACAGATTTAATACACTGTGAATACTTTTCTTTATTGATGTATGATACTCTAGAGTGAAATTTTGTAAGTGTCACAAAAGATACTTCATGAAAACAAAGTATATTGCATAAATAATTACATATACAACTGCTAAAACAACGATACTGTAAACTTACAGAACAATGAACAAATGCTTGAAGGTCTTTATTGTATATTATCAAGTGTTTTTAGATGGCATATTTTGATTTGTTTTAGGCTATATTACAAGTTTTCGTCCCTGTGCTTTCTCAAAACTTATGGATACAGTCCAATATTTTGATTTTTTGGTCACTCTCAGTCCCTGAGTTATAGGCCGTCTAAAAAAAGACGTTAACTCCATGTAAATGACTACTCTACCCTTGTCTCTAACTCGACCTCTTAAAATTCAATCCTTCTTTTGACTTCTTTAATCTTGAGTAAAGGAACTACGTTGCCCTTGTCTCTAGCTCTCGATCTCTCTTTTGTGCAAAAGACTTAAATGCCCTCATCCTCATTATCAGAGAACCGTAAAAAGTTTGTCAAGTCCAGCCCAGTCCCGTGTAACAAATGCAGACTTGGAAATTTCTAGAAATATACTTACTAAAATTCAAGGGCAATAGTCTTTAAGGACATCTAGTGTGTTACACACGTAAGTCTCAACATGCTATAAAGGTAGTCAAAGACTTTTTGATATTAGCAAACATAAAAACATATAAAGATGTGCCTGTCTCATAAGTTTATAAAATGCACAAGGAAGAAATATAAGTTGTATTGTATGAATGAACCTTGATGGACCAACATCACCAGGATACTCTCTAAATGATCTTCTATCACCACCAAGCATGGATCGGCCACGTGCTCTCAAGGAAGGATGCTCTGGACTGCAATATCCAATACAGATATAAAAATCAAGTAATAGAGTATCAAATTATTATGGAAGCATAGACATTAATAAACAAGTTAATATGAAGGAAAACATGAATTTATTGATATTACTCAGGCATGAAAATCATTTATCATACCACTATTTTTGATGCTTCATGTTTTTTACAGAAAGACTATATATAGACTCTGAGGTTGACATATGTTTTAGACCTCTTACCCATAAGTATCATATAGTCTTTGTCTTTTGTTTAATCATTAAATAAAGGGCTACATGCAAGAAATAGTATCATACTTCCATTTATTTGTTTAATCATAAGTATCATATAGTCCTTGTCTTTTGTGCAATCAATAAATAAAGGGCTAAACGCAAGAAATAGTACCATACTTCCATTTATTTGTTTACTACAGCATTATGCTTCCATTTCTTTCTATTCTCAATATTTTTTTCTTAGTAAGACAGTGCACTTTGAAAATTGTACTCAAATATAGCATTGCACTTTTAAAAAATTTACTTATTAGGATTTAGGATACACTAACAGGAAGAAATGAAAGTAGGATGATATAGTAAAATAAAAATATAAAAGTAGGTTGCTATTTCTTGCATTTAACCCATAAATGTAACAGCTTCTGAAAAATATTGACAAGGTTATACTCTATTTTGTTGAGAATGCTATCTTTTTTCAAAAGGTTGTCTATAATCACATGAATAAAACCATATAGCATGAGACATGAGGATCACCTTGAACTTGCAGTCCTTGGTTCATTTATCACCTTCCTCCGGCTTCTTCGCCAAAATGAAGCAGCAATATCTGGTTCACTATGGGATATACTGATGTATAGGGAAAAATGTAAGAGCTATTAATTACAAAGCTAGTTTTATAGGTAATTAATAAATTTCATTTGCAGTTTCATAAAACAAACAAAAATAGAATCCACAGTCAAAGAAAACTTATTAACATTAGGACAAACTCAAAGTGTACCTCCATTTCCCATCAATGGAGGATGCAGAACGCATCATTTTATTCCTCAATGAAGGTCCAGGAACATTCAAAGATAAATCCAATCTCCTCTGGTAATGAAGATTGTCATCTTTCTCAGAACTGCAGTAATGAATAAATAAATAAATACTCTGGTACTTCATTTCAGAATTCAGAAAAATAGAATATGTATGTGTATGGGAATAAAAGGACATAACCTCTCATTGTCTATCCTCTCTGAAAACCCATATAAAGGGCTGTTTGGTTCTAGTGGTGAATCACATGAGTCATTTTCTGCAGAATCACTTTCTCCAGCTGCAGATATATGGGTCATGAATATTGCCTTGGTTGACCGGGGTATGAGTTGACCGGGAAATCGCATTAGGTCAACAAGTAGTTCTACAGAATTCAGAACAACTACTACAGACATATGCTTATATGAATCTACACACTCACCAACTCCTTCATTAGGTATTCCCTATAAATCAAACATAAAGTTAATTTCTGGAAAATCAAACTAGATAACATAATAAAAGACTAAATTACAAATATTGTCCCTGTGGTTTATGCGTTTTTTGGATAAGGTCCAATAGTTTGAGTTTTTAACTTTTTTGTCCAGGAAACATAGTTTCATCACGTGAATGTGTCAATTGTGTTGCACACGAGGGTAAATATGTCTTTTTCCTATTCTCTCTGTTTAACGCCTCTTGATTGGTCAGCGGAAAGTTCTTGGAATTGGGGAGATAAAATGATAAATAATTACAAAGATTTACCGCTTAAGAGGTGCAAAAGAGACAAAAAAAAAAAAAAAAGGAAAAAGACTTATTTACCCTCGTGTGCAATGCACATGACACACACACACTAACTGCAGGTTGTCAATGGAGTAAAACTCAACGAAAAAGTTGAAAATATAACACTATTAGACCATATCCAAAAAGAAAGATAAAGATAAACTACAGGGACATTTTTGTAATTTAGTCTGTGAGGGTATAGATGTGTAGCAAATTGTGGTACTTACCACTACCAGTCTACTTTCAAAACCTACAGTATCAGCAAGAACTTTAAAGAGTATTGCTCGAGGACGACATGAACCATTTTTTATATGCCCCAGCAAGTGGACCCCACGACTGCCAGGGACATTAGAAGTATCCTCAAGTGTAGCTTTAATTGGGCTGTCAAACTGTGGTCTCTTATAGAAATCTGACACCTGCACACAAAATAATGAAAATCATTTATTTGTTGGTTTCAAATCTTCCTATTACAATTTACAACATTGTACTTCCAAAAACATTTCTTATAAAAGCACTGTACCTTGAAAAATATACCTGATTATAGCATTAGACTTTTAATTCTTTTGAGGAAATTGTAGTTTAAAAAATCCACCCAATTATATGGGAGAGAAATGCTTTGTATATGTATGATATTGGTATAATTACATGGATTTTTCAAATACAGTGTTGTAATACTAAAAAAAGGAAGTAAGATTCTATAGTAAACAAATCAATGGACTTATGTTGCTATTTCTTGTATTTAACCTATATGCAAAAATATGGTCTTGACTCTTGAATACTGAAGCATATTAATTAGTTTCATAATCTTTGATAAAATACAACCTACAAGCCCTTTCTCCTGTGGTCAATCCATAGTGTTTCCCTTATAAGTATAGAGGTGATACAATATTGTAGGCATTAAAGATATTACAATAATTTTCATACAAAACAATTCAATTAACAAACAGAAGAGTGAAAACAATTTAATCAATAGAAGGTGGAAGATAAAGCGAATTCCAGAACTCACCAATCCAGCAATCTTTTTGATAATGGCTGCAGGATTTGAGTTCAGACCTTTCACTAGTGTGGAAATTAGTTGCTTTAGCATGGAAAGCTTCTTGTCTTTTTGGGAATCAACAAGTATGATATCAGCTTTCACACCCTCAAGTTCTAAATCATGGAGCTCCTCCAAGGTGGGAATATCATCAAAAAGATCCTTGAGCCTCTTATCCTGTACATATTAAAAATCAATTAATGAAATACAACATCATCTAGAAAGATGACTTTAACCCTTTAAGACATATGTCTGCTGTAAACTAATTTCACTTGTTCACCAAAAGGGGCAGATGACTAAACAGATGTGAAAAAGAACACCAAAGTTTGTTATGCAAAATGCCTCATTTCCATGTGCTTTTTTTCAATATGATCTCAACTCCTTTATAATGAGCATAGCATACATGCTTCAGCTTTAAGGTAACAGATCCAAGAAACTTATGAAGCTGTAATCTTCACCTACTAGAGCATGTTAACCAAATTAAACATCTACATGAATCAACAAAGTGTAAGTACTTACATGAATGATTGAGTAGAAACCATTTGGAATAGGTTCAGAAAGCACTCCAGTGCGCCAAAGGATTTGTGATGCTGATTGAGATTGAGATAGAAACCTATCATATGTACTGCTGCTCATAGATCTTCTATGAGTTAGAGTTTCTTTTTTTGAGTCCAATGAAGCAGATTCAAATTTATCAATTAACTCTGAAGACCACCATGCATTACTAGAAGCCCCTTGCTCTGAGGTCCCTAATTCATCACGTGCCTCTTCCATGTTCATCAATAGATGATACAAATTAACAACACATCCCTGTTTATCCCCTACAAGACCTTTTTTGCACCATGTTTGAATATAAGACCGTTTATTAGAACAAATTCTTCATTTACGCCCCATAGTTTAACACCATATGACCTGCAATAGACAATAATGGGGTTAACCTTGCATCGATTTCACTAAGTTGAATGATCAAAGTTGGTAACAAAAATAGCTGTATTATGGAAATATGGAATCCAATCAACAGCTGCTGACAGTAGTATGATGAAGAAAGTACAGTGAACAATTTGCAATAATAACTAATACTTTGCTGCTTTAAGTAAGATAATTTCTTAATAGATCTGGAGCAAACATGGTAAAATACTAAGATGCAAAAGAATATTCACAATTGACAGAAACAAGATACAGTCTGCAGAAAAAACAGCTGTTCTACACAATATTGCAGAGCATGGGTTGTAAGGATAGAAACATAGAAAAGAGTGAGAGATGATGAACTTTCTTCTTGCATTTTACAAATTCCAGGTTCAAATCCTCACTCAGAAGTACACCCTTGTATGTGATCAACATAAAGCACCATGACTTTTAAGTCATAAACATACAACACATGGGTAGATGAAGTTACCCATTCTATTACCTTAGATATCACATTCTCTTCACCATCTTATCAACAAAAAAAGTAGACATCTAAAATGAAAAAGGGCGTAGCAGACTGGAGCTCTAGTTGAAACTAGTAACTCCAAAACAGATAGAATATCAGCCCAGGGCACTAAGGGGTTTCTCGCCAGATAATCACTACAGATTCTGCTATCTATTATAGCATCATCGCCATTGCACAAGACGATTACAGGGCTAGCCACATTCCATAATTGGACATTTTATTTTTAACCATTAAATATGATGAAATCTTCACAAGGCACGAGCATTTCTTACAAACTCCAAGCACATTAAAATCATCAAAAATAGAGAATTCATAACACAATTAGATCATTCAATACCCAGATTACTAATCAGAAATTTCACCGCCAACTATGGACATCATAACATAAAATTACAGATTAAATGTAACCCTCGAAATGCAAATTTGATCATTCAACTTGAATTCAATTTGCAGAAATCTAGCAGCGACAAATCTCATAGATAAACTTCAAGAAATACTCAAGACTCACCTAAACCCTCCCGAATCCTAAATTGAAGCCAGATGCCGACACAAGTGAACTAACCACCACTTGGATCCGAGTACTTCACGGCTGATAACAAATTGAATCTCTATATCCAACCAAGAAGAGTCTCATTTATTCCTAAAAATGAGATTTCAATCCACCAGTAACGGAGAGAGAATCAAACTGCACAACGATTTGTGTGCGCGTGATGAACGTCTCGTGACAATGATGAGAGAGAAAACGTAGAGATTCAAACGATGAGGAAATATCAGAGAGAGAGAGAGAGAGAGAGAGGCGGGGGATGGATTCAATATTTATTTTATTTTTCGCTAATAAAATGTTTATTGAGTGATTTAATTTATTCTTTCCAATTAGATTATATTTATTCTGTTTATTGCAACGAAATTATATAAGTATATTAATACCCATGCTATTTATGAACAATGCTTGGCACGACCGTCTCGTTACACGGAACCAACAACGATCCATCGGATAACCCCCGAGTTCATCGGTTTCTTCGTTGCCCCTCTGTTTCTCCACTCATATTCGCATGTACTTTGCACGTAACCACGTAGGTACTCCGTCTCATATGACGTTATCGTTGCAACTAGTTTTCCCATCCTTCTGTTATTAAAGGGATTGTAGGAAGCAAGCTTGTCTCGGTAACCAATTATGAGTACCGAGTTGTATTGGATTTTCTTGGGTGTCCAAATTCAACTTTAACCTAATTTTGTTCTTTCGCCAATAGCTAACCTATTGATGTTAGTCTAATTGTTTATGCTTGATTTTTACTGGTCGTTTGTTGGTTTATTGATGAATCTAGGGCCAGGGATATCCGTCTCAACTTCACCCTTACTTAGTCCGACCATATGTGTATTGGTGCCTAAACCAATAAACAACATCAACCCTAATAGGTTATGTTACATGCATTTTTTTTAACGATCCCAACATGTAAACTCTTTTCCACCATTCTTGTATGCTATGTAGCTCCCTAAAATCACTTTCATTTGGAAAATTCTCTTCAAAATTAACAAAATAAATAAATACCTCATCATCGGATGTGTTGATAGGAACGTTGAGATCTGAATACCGTTGTCGCAGTGTAAGAGAACATAATCATGGTGAAGGGATGTCATTGTCTTTACATCTCTCAACGAACTTGTAGAAAGTCATCCTACGTGACTTTCAGAAGATTAACAGCCATAGCAAATCCAAAAATATGTTGTAAATGAGGTTCAACTATTCCTTGCTCATGGAATCAAATCCTTGATGTTTACTCGATAGCCCCTTCATGATTATGTGCAACAAAACAATCCATAACTTGGGAACACCAATTTTCTTAAAATCCTTTGCATAATATGTTCATTTAAACCTAATTTCGAGGAGAAAGGATTGGAATTGATTAAAAAATGATCTCTACAGCGACAAATCCTTATGGGTTCTCTATAACTCAATTACCTTAAAAATGTGGATCTGGTAATGGTTCATATTTGATCATTTGTGACCAATACTTTGGTGTTTTCTTCATTTATGCGAACACATTTGAATGCTAGTTCCAAGAGCCTTAATGGGAATCTAGTGTTAGGCATTTTTATGAGAAGAATGTGAATGGGATGAAGTGTGATGAACTTGATCATGACTCAAACAAATTTATTGAAGTCATTAGTAGGGTTTAATGAAATTTTTTGGGCTGTGTCCCTAAGAATCATCTCAGTGGAGGAGAATTTGGTGGAAGCCTTGGAAGTTTTTGGTGCCATTGCAGTGGATTTTTAAGCTTTTGAGAGAGAAGTACATAAAGAAATATAGGGCTTGCAAGATGAATTTATGAAAACGTAAAAAGGGAATGGTTGATTTCAAAATCAATTAAATATGGGTTTTTCTGGTTGGGTCGATGGATCAATGATGACACCCAATAGAAAAATGGGTTACAATTTGAAAATCATTTTCTAGTATTATAAACACTAAATTTAAATTGCTTAACAGATATAAGATTATTATCATTCTTTAATTTAAATAGTAAACTATTAGATAATTTATTTTAATTTTTTTTAATATAAAAATGGTTTTTAATAAGTTTCCTTATAATTGCCAAGAGCTAAATAATAAGACAATAATATTTTCACATTATAAAATGAAAAAGGTCCAACATGCTTCCGTACTTGTTTTCCGCTTTGACAAGAATATTATCGAGTTATAGTACTTGTAAATATAAGGAAAAGAGAAATTTATTCAAAAACTTTTTTTATTAAAATAGTGGGTTTACAAAGAAACATCGTAGAAAAATCAGGGATTACAAACAATGCCCTTTTATATAACATGGTGCCTTATTTATACTACTAGATACATACATCAAAGGCTTATCCTTCATTCAGTTCTTTAACTTTTATCATCTTTATGTCAAAGTTTTTTCATGCATGCATGACACACACATGGTGTAACACCCCATTTATTTATTAGATAGATAAATTAATTAATGAACGAATAGTGGCCCTAAAATAAATAATTATATATCAAAGGATGATCTCGAAGAGCCAAATGCCAATTTTAGAGATTTGGGGGTTAAAAGTGTAAAATCCGGATTTAATTTGTAAGCATTATTGAAGGCAGGGACTAAATGGTGATTTCTGGGACTTCATTTGAAGAGATTTTGAAGACAAGGGTTGCCTGGTAATTATTAGGGCTATTATGAAATTAATTATGGAAGGAAGGACTAAAGGGTAACTTATGGAGTTAAATTGAAAACAAATGTTGTAGGGAGCGACTAAACTTGGTTAAATGCACAAATTTGAATGAACACGGGATTAAACCCGGTGCCACTCTTCTCTTACGTGAATTCACCCAAACCCTAAACCTAAACCACATTTCCAGCCGCCACCATTGCTGAGGACGTTTCCCAGCCGCCATCACCTTAGGAGCCTCCTCATGCCGCCATTTGCATCACCAAGTTGAACAGCCACCACTTCCGTTGTTGCCCGATCGACGTTCGTCACTGTTACATCCCCCGCCACTGCTAGTGCCGTTAAGGATAGCCGGTAAATCGTTGGGGCTGACGGGAGGAGCCGAGAACGATGAAGATGAGGTCGTGAACGACCGGAAGGCCCCCGGTAAGGCTAAACCACGACCCATTCCTCCCGTATTTTGTTCTTTTTGGTTGTATAAGTCGTCATCGCCGGTTCTGTTTGCTTCAACGGCAACAGCCGCCATCTTCTGTCGCTGTTGCTACTGTGTTCGTGTTTGCGGGTGGGTGTATGTGTTGCTTAGTAAGGAATCAAAAGAACCGCCAGCCACCACTAGGTTGTTGTTTATATGTGTTTGTATTAGCAGGTGTGTGTGTGTGTGTGATTTTTAGAGTTTAGCATTGTAAAATGTAACTAGAAAGAAGAATAATGGAAAGAAACTCAAACCACACGGTGAGGTGGTAGCTGTCGTCTCCTGCCGCCACCGGCCGCCGTGTCGGGTGGCGGTGTGCTTTGCCTGGTCGTGTTGATTCGGTTGGGGTGCTTGAAACCCTAATGGGCCTAATGAAGCCCTAATGGGCTTAGTGAAACCCTAATGGGCCTAGTGAAATCATAATGGGCCTAATGAACCCTAATTGGTCAAAGGACCTAGCTATTGGGCCTATTGGGCTAATATGGGTTGGAAACCCTAATTAGGGTTTGGAAAACCCTAATGCCATGAAACCCTAATTTGGGATTTATCAGGCTTATTTAATGAACTTAAAATATTAATTAATAACCAATTACAATTAACCTAAGGCCAGGTGGGACTTAATGTATTAAGTTCTTAATGGGTTAAGTAGGGACACTTAACCCTAATCATCATTTCATGGGAAAACCCTAATTTCACTTGGGTTTATTGTTGGGCCTTAATGATTGGATTATTAATGGGCCATCCAAGAATAATCATATGGACTAGAATATGTTGATGGGCTTAGGGTAAGGCCCATATAAGGGTTTGGGCCCAATTTAGAAAATTGGGCCATAGATGGGCCATAGTTTGGGCCTTAATGATTATATGATATGGGCCACTAGAATGTCAAATATTGGATTGGAATAAATGGTTGGGCCTTTGAATAAGACCATGTAAAGGCTTGGGCCCAATTTGGAAAATTGGGCCATATGTTGGGCTTTGATTCCTAATTTAACTTTTGGGTCTATGGATTGGGCCTTGGGCTTGAATCAAGACAAGATGGGATAATGTAGCATGTTACTCCAAAAACTTATGGTTATGTGTTGGGACCCAAATATTAATTGGTTATTGTTTGATGTTGGCAGTTCGGGAATCTGTCAACCATCAGCTGGATTTGCATCCGCGAGACTTCAGCAGTGCCATGTGAGTCTCCTCACCATACCAATGGGTCTAAGGCACCAAGGCCGGACCATTTTATGATATATGGTACACTAGTTGATGTAGTGATATGTGGTATGCTAGTTGGTTATATGTTATGTGCTATGCTATTTGTTTATGTGATATTTGCATGAAAGACCATGGGGGGAGCCCATGCCACTTGGATGTAAGACCATGTGGGGGAGCCCGTGGCTCTTCAGGTAAATACCATGGGGGGAGCCCATGACACATGGATGTAAGACCATGTGGGGGAGTCCATGGCTTTCCTATTAAAGACCATGGGGGAGCCCATGGCACCGGATGTAAGACCATGTGGAGAGCACATGGCTTTCCTATTAAAGACCATGGGGGAGCCCATGACACTTAGGTGTAAGACCATGGGGGAGCCCATGGCATCCTGGAGTAAGACCTTGGGGGAGCCCACGACATCCGTATATGTTTATATGCATGTCTATGTGATTGATATGGCTATCTGATTGATATGGTTTATGTAGCTGATATAGCTAATGTGGATTATGTGGTTATGTGGATTGTGTGGGGTATGCTCTGGGAACTCACTAAGATTCGTGCTTACAGTTTTTTTTATTGGTTTCAGGTATCATCGATTTGGAAAAGAAGGGCTCGGATTGATCGCAGTGCACACACCCATGTTTTCCGCATTGAATGATTTTGGGATGAACTCTGATAAATGTTTAGATTAACGATGTTTTGGATGTTTGGGATAAATGATATCTATGTTTTGAATATATTCAAAATGAAATTTTTACCCTCGATTTTTGGGTCATTACACATGGAAGGTGTATTCACATCTTTAATGTCTAGCCATATACATGTCATGTGTAGACTTTATCCTTTTAGCCTATATATAGTATTTGTTCTCTTAAGTCAACATGACTTATCCATTAGTGCTTGTATTTTTTGTCCCTA